ACGTAAATATTAAAATGTGTAACCATTATTATAATTAAACCTAAATAATGTGATCAATTTGGAAAAGTTTTAAAACTTACGGAATGTATCGGGAGATATTTATAATTTTGTTAAGAGATATTTATATTATTCAATTAATATCTTCATCAACTCAATCATCATTTGGCTTTTCTTTGGTAAAAAAAAAAAAAATCATCATTTGGCTTTTAGAAACGTTGAAACTACAATTAGTACATTGCATGCATGTAAAAGTAAATCTTTGATACTTCTCTTATGACAAGTAAATCCGAAACGACGTCCGTCCATTGAAATAGATATCGTTGTGTGTGTGTGTGTGTGTGTGTGTCTCTCTCTCTCTCTCTCTCACTCTCCCTAGATATATATATATATGTATATGTGCGCACGAGAATCTCACTACGAGATTGGCAAGCCAGCTCGAATTCGAATCTAAATGACTCCAACCCTCACGTTGAAATCTAGCGGATCAACAAAACTAATAAACGACGATGGAGCAGACGAAGAAGAAGAAAGCTTCAGCTACGCAACGCAGGTGGTGATGTCCGGTGTTCTGCCAATGGCCTTGCAAACGACAATAGAACTCGGCGTTTTCGACGTCATTGCGAGAGCCGGAGAAGGCGCCAAGCTCTCCGCAAACGACATTGCGCATCAGCTTCCGGCTGCGATCAAGAACCCGGACGCAGCCAAAATGCTGGATCAGGTTCTCGGCCTCCTCGCGACTCACTCTCTGCTTCGATGCTCCGAAGAAGAAGGAGAAGAAGAAAGGTTTGGATTCGGTACGTGTGGTCACAGAGTGAGACTGTACAGCCTCGCGACTGCTTCCAAGTTCTTCATTCCTGATGCTGATCATGCCATGTCGCTCGGTCCTCTTCTGGCTATGGTTCAGCATAGGGCTTGTTGGGAAAGCTGGTAACTATAAACGTTCTTCTTTTTTTTTTTAAGTCCTTTAATTTTATATTATTTTAATTTAATTATTTTAACTTTTTAAAAAAATTATCTCTAAGTAATTTACTAAATGAAAATATTAACATAAAATTAAACTAATTTATGCATAATAATTTTAACCACATTAATTTATACATATTGACAAAACACACACACACACACACACACACACATATACAAGCAGAAAAACAATTTTTAACTGACATTTTGTTTCATTTTAAATACTCAGATGACATTATTTGAACGCCCCTTTATTTCTAGATTTGAAAATACGAAATATGAATTTTTAAGTCAAGAATTTGATAGTTATATGAAATAAAAATATAGTTTTTATTCATTAATCAGAGGCATGATGTGCTGTTTATTGTTATTATTACTAATTATAGGTAAATTAATTTAATTAAGAAAATTAATAGAGTTAAGAATCTTATAAAAAATAGAGTTAAGAAGATAAAAATTTTCACTATATTTTTAAATTTATAGAATCATTACTTTTTGGGTAAAGTATATTTTTATTCCATTAACTTTACACAAAATTTAATTTTGGTTTCTTAATTTTAAATTTATTTTCTATTATTTAATTATAATATCTTAAGTTTCATTACAAAAACTTTTTACATTGAACTGTTGATAAAATTTTTTTAAATATTAACTTATTAAGTTTAATTTTTTTAAAAAAAACAATGGTTGGTAGAAAAAATAATTAATTGAAACCAATGATGTTAGGATTAAAAGATTAAAAATATACTTTATAAAATTGAAAAACTAAATTGAAATCTTATATAAGGTTAGAGGATCAAAAGCATACTTTTTCCTTTCCTTTTTAATTTAATTCTATTTTTAAATTTATAATTCATAAATCCCTCAATTTAATCTGCAGCATTAAAATTTGCCAAATATTACTTTAAAAAATTTGTTGATATGATTTTTTTAATATATTATTATAACACACTGAATATGCATGGTTTAATTATCATTATACAAATATGAAAAATGAATTTGAACAGCATATAAAGTGCTTATTGAATTTCACTGAATATGGGTTGTACATATTTATTGCTAATTAATTTCACTGCTATATATGGATAGGTTTCATTTGAAAGATGCAATTACAAAAGGAGGAACAGCTTTTGAAAGGGGTCATGGAGGCATACCAAAGTTCAAGTACATAGGCTTGAACTCTGAGTTGAATCAAGTTTTCAACGCAGCTTCAATTCATCAAACTTGCTTGGTTATGAAAAGCTTCTAGAATCTTACAATGGCTTTGAGCATCTCAATTCTCTTGTGGATGTTGGAGGTGGCCTTGGACTTACTCTCAACTTGATCACTTCCAAGTACCCTCATCTTAAGGCTATCAATTTTGACTTGCCTCATGTCATCAATCATGCCCCTTCTTATCCCGGTATAATATTTCTTTTTATTTTTTATTTTTTTAACCGATCTCAGTTAATGAGATAAAATTTATTATTATTGTTTTTTCTTTTTTTTTCTTCTCATTTTTTCCAAACAGTTCAATATTTGGGAAAAGCTGACTTATTTGGAATTGAGACAACTAGATTTAGTAGTTTTCTTAATATACGTTTTTTTTTTTTTTTACCCACAATGTCTCTTCCTATCATTATACTATTATCTTTAAAGCTCCATTAATAAAAGAAGAAAGACAAAGAAAGTGATGAGACTTGCTTATCAAGTTATAAAAAAATAGTGAATTTTGAGATTTTATTGAAATCATGAAGGCATCTATTCTCCTTTCAAAATTTATGTATTTTTTAGGAAAAACATAAAGTAGATTATACATATTTTTACCGAGCTCTCTGAAATTACATTTTTTTTATATTATGAAAATCTACACAATTTAAAAAATAAAAATTAAATTACAATTAGGCCTTCCCTTGAAATTGTTAAAATTGCATATATCCTTGTTCAGTTTTCAAGAGATGTTTGAAAATGCTTTTGAGGAAAAAAAGAAGTATATATATAATTTCAACAAATACTCAAGGTAGGATTTTTTAGGGGGTCAATGTGTTTTGAAATTTTTTTTAAAAAAAATCACGTGTAATTTTGTTAAAATTTATGTAATGATTGTAAAAATCGTCATAGAGAAAATTTATAATTGAATTTAACTTTCATTTAAGATATTTTACGCAACATTAATTTTTTATTTATTTTTGGTAAAAAAAATCCTTATTCTAAACCAACATTGTGAATGACCAGTCACTATGACCAACTAATAATTAAGTATTGAAATTTTCAATAAATGTTATAGGTGTGCGACACGTGGCAGGAGATATGTTTGAGACCATACCCAAGGGAGATGCCATTTTAATAAAGGTAACAGAACCTCCCCCCCCCCCCAAAGACATATTAGCATGAAACAGAATCTTAGTAATTTGCGATATGAATTAATATTTAATATCATCTACATTAATTAACAAGTTTTAACATTGTATATTTGAAGTTACATCATTCATAATTTATAAATAATGCAACCAATCAGGTTTCATGCAATGCACAAGAATCGCATTCAATTAATTTTAACACCTATTTGATAGAATGCTTATAGCTTACAGATTACAGTTCATTGCCCTTCTTCAAAGCGTACTAGTCTATAACTTATTTCGTCACGATAAATGAGCGGCTGCTATTAGATGAAGCTGACTTGTGAATTAAAACTGCACAGTAACTTTGAGCCTATAGGCATGTTTTGGTTCCTAGAAAGTGCAGGAACGGAATGAAATAAAGACATAAAGAGAAAGATAAATTAAATTAATCTCTTTATCATAAACTAAATACCACATACAACAAATGTAAAAATCACATGCCCTCTACAAATTTCATAAATTATGAATCTCAATCTCTATGAATTACATTACCATCCCTCCTCATAAATATGATTTATCTACCTCCTCCTCACATTTTGATCATTTTACTTATCTTTATTTCATTATTCTATTCTATTTTCATTCTTTCCAGCAACGCCTTTTATTCCGTCATGATTGGGATGCAACCCTAAAACCTTCAAAAATGCTAACCTCGAGAAAGTTGAGAGACAAATTTAAAAGTGACCTAAAAAGGAGTGTACCTAAAAAAGAAGGGGGGTGGGGGAGGCTTTCGTGTGAGAGCAAGTGGTTTTTTTGCTGTTACTATTCTTTCATATTAATCTGCTGTAAAAACAGAATAATTTAATGCTCACTAAGGGGGTGTACACATAATACTGCAGTGGATTCTGCATGATTGGAATGACAAAAAGTGCTTGAAGCTACTGAAGAATTGTTACAAGTCCACTCCAGAAGACGGGAAGGTAATTGCAATGGAATCAGTGATATCTGATATGCCTGAGACCTCAGCAGTGCAACTTCCAAATTGATGTGTTCATGATGGCTCAAGGTGCTGCTGGTGGCAGACTTCGAAGCCATCAAGATTTCATCAACCTTGCAAAAGCTTCTGGATTCAAGCGTGTTCAATTCGAATGTTTTGTTCGTAATTTCTGGGTCATGGAGTTCTTCAAGTAGTAATTAGTTAACTATATCACCTACCTTTCCATGCTGCAATTGTTTTTTCTGCAGCTTATGTTCTTTCTCATGGAATTGATAAGGGTTTTATTTCATTTTATACATGTCTTTACTGCATACATGGGAAATAAACATAAGATTGGCGAGTACAAGGGATCTTCCTCAAAATCCATTTATCTCAGATCTCTCCAACCATGCATAATCAGATCCGGTCAGATATAATAGGTTAGATCTTCCTCTTCTTGACTCTTTCCTCTTGAATGATGGCTTCAAGTGCAATAAACACATCCATATTGTCCAATAAATCCAAGGGCAAGATTAAGTAAAATTGCCGATGAAGCATAATAAACTAAAATCAGGTTGTGCACCAATTTCTTAAACGCATTGTTGATGAACAAGTTCGTTGTATTTTTCAACATGTCCCCCAAGATTGACAAGCTCTTCGTATAGAAAATTCTATAGGCAGCATCAAGTTCGTTGTATTCACTCGCTCATATAGCTCAATGATAGTGGGAGAGGAAGATGTTGAGTGAAAATAGGAAAAGCAAATTGAACTTGAGTTTTTGGGTTTAGATTGAATCAACAAATGAGTCAAGTTTGGTAAACAAGATTAAAACAATGATAAGAGGCTAAACGACCCAGATCTTTTGAAGTACCTTATTTTCTATTTTTATAACATGCTGCATCCTCTATAAATGATCCACATGGATGGCTTCTCCAATCACAATGATGTTCAAAAGACAACGTGAATCAATCTTGTCCCCGGGCTTGTTCAGTGGCAAGGATGCAGCAATCTACAGAAGGACTTCATGCAACTAGAATCCTGAAGATCTGATTCTGAAGGGGAAAACTGTCTGGTAAATGATGTCACCCAACTTGTCCTCATATTTCATATTGTTTTACAAAATTGACTTCCAATGAGAAGCTAAACATCTTGTCAGAGTAACGAATAACCGCACTGAATCATAACATCTAGTCAGTTCTAACCTTCTCGGCGACTGACTTGCTTAGTATAACGACACCAATCACAATAAGCAAGGCACCAGCAACCCACTGCCAACCAGTACTTTACATCAGATATGCATAAATCAAGAACTTTGAATAACACAAAATTCAAAGGCACAACTTCTCCCTCCACTATCCTCATGTAAAATTCAGAAAAAGCAGTAGGAAAAAAAATTAAGCACACATTGGACATCAGACGCTGCATTATCAATTTATCATCCTCTTTTTTTTTTTTTTGCGAGGGGCAGGCACGGGGTTGGGGTGAGATCAGCCATCCTCTATCTTGGTTAAATGACAGCCAAATCCGTTTATCTTCTTGTGAAGGAACATCAAAGAATGTGAACTTCAGCCGTAAAGCAGAATCAGGAAAAAGGAAAAAAAAAAAACATATATTTGACAGATATCATGACACAAATAGTCAAATAGAACATCGCAAATATTATCTTACGCAGTTATACTGAAAAAAGCTCTTGCTGAGAGTTTTGGCCAAACTCTAATCTTTATTACAGTATTTGAACAAAGTGACTTTTTAAAGAAAATTCTAAACGCAGAAATTTTGCAGCAGAGACAAACAAGCTCATGCCTGAAGTTTGATTTCTCAAAAATGTGGTTAGACTATAAATCCTCAATTTTATTGTTAGAGAACACAGTTGCATATCATGGTTACTTCTTTGTCATCTAATTATTAATCTATTTCATTACTTTGTCAAGACAGATATAATCATTATGGATCCATAACTGTTTCTTAATTGGTGGCTAAATTGGTAAGACTAGAATGGAGCTTTGTCTCCATCCTTATATATGTAATCCCTTTTCATTCAATAAAATTTGAATTCAGAAGTTCAAATTCTCTGAAATCCCACACGTTATCAAAGCCTAAGTGATAGTATTTGGCAGCAAGTGCTCTAATTTTTATTCACAGTAAGTTCACCAATAAACAGTACAAGTAGGGAGAGAGTAATCAGGATCAAAGCCCTTAGATTTCTCTCACAATTATGAATAATAATAATTACTAAATACTAGAATAATAACAGAGCAAGAAATAAAAGGAAATTAAGTTAAATGTTGATTATGGGCCTAAAGGCAGCAAGTCCATTCTCAACACTCCCCCTCAAGCTAGAGAATAGATGTTGATCATTCCCAGCTTACTTCTGAACTCGTCAAATTTTTCTTTAGCTAATGACTTGGTCATAACATCTATAATCTGCTTCCTTGAAGGGATATAAGATAAATCAATCACTTTTGTCTCAATTTTCTCTTTAATGAATTGCTGGTCAATCTCTACATGTTTTGTGCAGTCATGATGTATAGGATTACTAGCAATCATTATTGCTGAAACGTTAACGCACCAAACCTTGATTGGATCAGCAATCCCAACCTTGAGCTCTCCTAGGAATCTCACAATCCACATGCCTTTGCAAATCCCTAATGCCAAGGCTCAATATTCAGATTCTATTGAGCTTCTTGAGACTACGGGTTGTTTCTTACTTCTCCACGTTACCAAGTTTCCCCATACATAGGAACAATAACCAATGGTAGACCGCCTGTCAGATTTAGAGCCTCCCCAATCAGCATCAGTAAACAACTCAATGCCTTTGAATTCCCCTTTTCCAAAGAACAATCCTTGTCCAGGAGTTTTCTTCAAGTATCTCAAAAGTTCTATATACTGCTGTCATATGCTCTTTTTGAGGATTGCTAAAGAACTGCCTTACAACACTTACTGGGAAACATATATATCAGGTCTTGTGTGTGACAAGTAAATCAATTTTCCCACTAACCTTAGATATCTCTCTTTATTCACTGCTGTACCATCAGGTCTAATGGTTAACTTTTGATTATGCTCCATTAGAGTATTAACAGGCCTTGCTTCCAACATCCTTGTTTAATTTAGTAAGTCTAAAGTGTACTTTCGTTGTGACACACTGATTCCCTTCAGGGTTCTTGCCACTTCCATGCCAAGAAAATATCTCAGGGAACCAAGATCCTTGATTTCAAATTCAGCTGCCATGCTCCTTTTAAGTTTAGTTATTTCTTCAGCATCATTTCCTGTTAACACTATATCATCAACATAAAACAATAAGGGCTGTTATTTTGTCTACACAGTGTTTAACAAATAAGGTGTGGTGTGCCTGGCATTGCATATAGCCTAAACCCTTGATAGCATGGGAAAACCTTTCAAACCAAGCTGTTGGGGATTGTTTTAAGCCATACAGAGATTTATAAAGTTTGCAAACTTTACCAACATTTTCTAAGCTTCTCATATCCAAGGGGACTTCCATGTATACCTCTTCCTCAAGATCACCGTTAAGGAAGGCATTTTTCATATCTAGTTAATGTCTCTTGGTAATCAATACCATAAGTTTGAGTAAACTCTCGAGCAACTAGTCAAGCTTTGTATTTATTTATACTCCCATTAGGATTATAAATACCCACTTACTACTCACAACAGATTTACCCTTAGGTAGATTCACAATCTTCCAAGTTCTATTCTTATATAAAGCTCACAGCTCTTCTTCTACAGCTTGTTTCCTTTTCGGATCAGCAAAAGCCTCAGTAAAACTTTTGGGTGTTTTTACACTATCAACATTGGCAACAAATGTCTTCAAATGAGGAGAGAGCTTTTTGTATGAGACATACCTGCCAATAGGATGTTGGGTACAGCTTCTCTTTCCTTTTCTCAAGGCTATAGGCCAACGTAGATCTTCGAGACTTATCTCAGGTACAGACTTATGGTTTTGTCTTGGTATGGTAATGGAACTTACTCCTCCATGCTGTTGTACAGTGACATTAATAGATTCTTCCACCATAATCTCACTCAAATTTGGTTTGGTGAGAGACTTCAGAGGCTCAAAAGGGTTTTTTATCTTGAAAATCAGATCTGGTTGGAGGATTTCCAGAGTTCTTTGACTCTGATTCACAGGTTTCAAGGCTGTTTTCTGATAAAAGGTGGGAATTTGAGCACTTTCCAGATCTGTCCAGACAATTCCCAGAATTTGTGGCAGGTGAGATAGGGATAATAGCAGGTGAGGTAGGTATAATAGGTTCATCTAGTGATGTTTGAGGTCCATTAGGCTCAATATGTTGTTTTAGATCAGATCTATCACACTTGGTGCACAAATGAGCCATTCACTACACTCACTCTCCCCCTGAATGGGTGATTTGGGCAAAAAAAAAAGACTGCCCTTCAATAAATTTGACATTCATAGTGATATACACCTTTTTGGTAGGAGGAGAATAACACTTATAGCCTTTTTGACTTGAAGAGTATCCCAAAAATATATATTTAATAGCTGGTGGATCTAGCTTTCCCTCATGGTCATTGTACACAAAAGCAGTACAGCCAAAAACCCTTTTAGGAAGAGAGTTAGTAAGGGAAGAGTGGGGATATATCTCAAGAAAGGTTTGAAGAGGTGTAAGAAAGTTCAGAGTTTTAGATGGCATATGATTAATCAAGTAAGCCGAGGTACGAACAGCATCCCCCCAAAACTTGTAAGGAACATTACCCCAAAACATAACGGCTCTAGACGCTTCGAGGAGATGTCTATTTTTTTCTCTCTGAAACTCCATTTTGTTGAGGAGAATAAACACAAGAGGTTTGACAATGTATGCCGTGAAGGGTCAAGAAATTGTTAAAATCAGAATTCAAGTACTCCTTTCCATTATCACTATGCAATATCTTGATTTCCCCGAACAACAAGTGCATAAGATTCATGGGAGGTAGTAGAAGGAGTAGATAAGAGAGAAGAGTTAGTTAGTCATGTGACCATGAGCATCTTCAAAACAATTATTGAGACCAAGGAGGAAATCATAACACCTTTCTCGATCAACAATTGTCTTATAATACAATCAATCATTATGGCAGGACCATTCATGGATCTCGTAGAGATCTATATATTGCCACAGCCTCATTAGCGCACCATTGAGTCACAGATTGCTCACCTTGTAGAAGGTTGCGAAGCAATTGTTTGGTCTAAAAAATTGCAGCAGTGTTTTCCTGGACTGAATACATTGTCTTGGCAGAATCCCATATCTCTTTGCCTGTCGTTGCGAGCAAATAGCTCTCGTTGATTTCCACTGTCATGGAGTTGACCAACCACATCATGACCAGATTATTTTCTGCACACCAACCTTCGAACAGAGGATCATTGGGTTCAGGTGGTTTTGGGTTCCAAGTGAGATATTTCTCCTTGTTTCTACCATGAACGAACATCAGGATATTTCAGGACCGTTGGAGATAGTTGTTGTCATTAAATCGATGTGTTACCGTGACTTGTGAGAGAGACTCAGGTGTTGAACCAATCACCATCATGTGTGAGTTCGCATGCTACTCCCTCCTGATTTCATTGACTCCAGTCCTTGTGAGCCCTCACTGTTTGACAGAGATTTGTTGGGAACCCCGTCAACATTGAAGATGAGTGACTGACGAGTTATTGCTGCCTTATACAACATTTTGGAACCACAAGCTCTAATACCATGATAGTATTTGGCAGCAAATGCTCTAATTTTTATCCACAGTAAGTGCCCCAATAAATAGTACAAGGAGGGAGAGAATAATTGGGATCAAATCCCTTAGATTTCTCCCACAATTATGAATAATAATAAAAACTAATAAATACTAGAATAATAACAGAGCAAGAAATAAAAGGAAATTAGGTTAAAATCGTTAAATGTTGATTATGGGCCTAAAGGCGGCAAGCCCATTCTCAACACTAAGGCTAGCATCCTTTGTTAAACCTAAATTAGTGAAGCTATGGCCACCCACAAACAGAAGGCAAAAGCCACATAAGTACTGCACAAACCAGCAAAACTATCTTCAAGTCACATAAAAAACATGCTTTGGCGCCTAATGTAAAATACCAAATGATGATGGTTAGGCTAAAAAAAGCAATTACTAGCGAGTAAAAACATAGATTTCTACATCACAAAAGATCACAGAATTAAATACCTAAAATCAAGACCCTTGCTATAAAGTAAGAGAAAGAAGAGAATGGGAGCCAAGGAAAAAACCTGCGGGCAGAGGAGGGCATATTAACAAAAAGTATTGACATTGATAGCTCCAAGTTGTGCCCCAATTGAAAAATGAATGTTATAGATTCTAATTTTTCTTAGATACTTATTAGTAATTTGTCTCCTAATTATTGGTCTAATTTATTATTTTATCTTGTCAAAAGTGATCAATCAGTGTCCACAACTTTTGCCTGATTGGTAGCTAAATTTGTCGGATTAAATTGGAGATTTGTCTACTTTCCTTTCCTATATATGTAATGCCTTCTCATTCAATAAAATTTGAATTCAAAGTCCTGTGAAAGTCTACAATAATTGTTATGGAAGTTACGCTTCTATAAGAACTAAACTTATCCAACAAAAAATTATCATGGAATTGACATTTCTCTAAGGGCTAAACTTACACAGCATTGAACTGCAGGGGACAGCTATGTGTATGGCCCCCAAATATTTAAAAGTCAAAATCATCAATTCATAAACGTCTTTTGAAAAAATAGATCTTTGTTGCCTCAATTTTGTGTTCCACTTCCAAACACAATATGACAGAACTCAATTCACCAAAGAAGTCTATTCATGCAAACCAAACATGCAAAATTGAGTTCCAAACAGGGCATTAAAGTTTACTTAAGGCTCTTGTATAATTATAGTTCCACCTGTGATTCTGGTTCTGTTCTTTATCAGCTGCAACAAGGACTTAAAAATTCCACACACCCCCTCCCAGCTCGGAGAACTCAACATCAATAACTAAGTTTAATTATCAAGTGAACTAACTTACAGACCAGAAAGTCTAATCCTAATTTCAGCGCATCTTTGCCTGCCTAACATGCCAAAAGTTTTATAGAAAATCCCCAAAATCATCATTTTGTAAACAATGGACTACAGTACATGTGGTTACACACAAAAATTCGAGCTAAAGGGCATATACATAACACTTTACCAAGAACAAATAGCTAGGTCCGCTTTCAGGAGCGCATAGTCTATTGTTATCCAATGAAATCATTTAAATATGTAGTAGAAAAGATGTATCTAAAATCTTCCAGCATCGAGAACAGGACAAATGAGAATATACCTTATAGGATACTGCTTCCTGAAACAAAAAGAATCCAGCTAAACCAGAGGAGATGAAATTGGTAGCAAAGTTTGTTACAGTTGCTTGCAGAGATGATAGAGCCTTAAGACTATTGACATAACAAGCCCACATCACCACATTGAATAATACAACCATCCCATACCTAGCAAACTGTTGAGAATAAGGTTATTACAAATCACAATTACAAACAACGGGAGGAGAAAAGAAAGTGCAAAAAGGCTATGGTGAAAGCATCACAGTGTGAGAGACATATTCAAATCATATGGAAGCAGACAGAGAAGAAGCATACACATTCAAAAATTCAAGCCACAACAGTTGCATCAAACTGATCGAATGCAGATTTCTCGTGCATATATATATATATATATATAGATATGTGTCTGTCCTTGACGACCTCTGACCTGTAATTTTACAGTTGCAGGGAATACAGAATATCAAATGTACACAACAGATATCCGATCGGTCCAATTCTAGTTTATCATACTATATATTCCATCTTATTTTGCCTAATCTGAAATTGAACCTAAGAAAATGTAAAAAAAAAAAAAATCAAAGTTTCACGTCCCCTCAATTCAAACATCCATGAGAGGACAGTTGTTCTATAAGCAAACATTAAGACATTTTCACCATCTAATGGATAAAAATAGTAGTATAGTAGTAGTAACAACAAGAAGAAGAAAAGGATACCTGCAAAATGGAGAGCTTTGCAGAAATGGCCGCCATAGCAGCACAAAATCCGGCGGATACTGCCCACGCGTAGCCTATCCTCTTCCTATCATCCATCTATCTAGTTCTCTCAGAGAAATCAGAAGTAGCGATGAAAACACAAAACCAGAAAGCACCGATTCCAAATCCAAGATCGGTTTGAAATCGCTCGTGACTGATATTTTCCTAGAACGGAGGAAAGAGGGGAAAAATCAACTGAAAATGAGAAACATTTAGTACCGTCTGGATTCAGTTGATTATAATAAATTATAAAAATAATTAATTAAATAATAAATTTTAATTATAATTAATTATATTATAACGTAATATATTTAAATATTATTTTTTTAAAATTATTTTAATAAAATTAAAAATATTAAATAATTTAATCAGAATTAATTTTTAATTATATAAATTATTATATAATGTAATTTTAAATATTAAATATTAATTTTTTAAAGATATAAAATTTAAATTTTATTAAAAAAAAGAGAAAAAAAAGATAATTTTATTTTATTTTTATTAAATTACGTACTTTTTTTATTTTATTTTTGAACTTTTTTTTGTAATTTTTTTTTAACATTTTTGACAAGGTTTTTTGCAAGAGCTTCTATTCTCAGCTTTTAAAAATAATTAATTTTTAACTTAAAAATGATTCTCTAAAAAATAAGTGTTTGAATAATTTTGTGAAGAATTAATTTTTGGATAAAAATTGATTATTTTTACTATCCAATTTGGAAAATAAGATTTTTATGAAGTACTTTGGAGACCAAATACTCGCTCTCCGTTCATTACGTTAGAAATCAAAGAAAGTTGGGAAAATCGCCCTTGAGGATCTCTGATAAAAAAGACGAGGCTTAAATTTGTTTTGGGAGTTAAAGTTAAGTTATATTAAAAAAGTTATTCTCTGATCATCTACTTCTGGAAGAGAGTTTTGAAGAACGCAAGCAGATTTTCTCTGGGACGCAGAACTTCTTTCACCACAGGCTTATTCAAAATCTCTTCACTCCACTTGTACAGCTTCGGATATTCTCACCACTGTACACATCAATAAGCCCGCCGGCTTCTTCAATAACCGGCAGCCAGAAAGCCACCAACAGAGAAGCGATGTCCACGATTCCGATCGAATCTCCGTTGAAGAACTCCCTTTCAGCTCCTTCTCCAGAAGCTCCAGAGCCACTCTTAATTCTTCCGCGCCATTTTCCCTCTCTTTCTCGTTCGGGCTCTTTGTTGCTTTCGATAGTGCAGGCACCACCTAAAATCAAGCAATTACAAAACACTTGTTTAGCGACTGATCAAATCATTCAGATTCATACAAGAACTTGAAAAGTTGAATGACCTTGTCGTCGATGAACCTGGACCAGAAACGAGCCAGGGCTCTGTGATGAGGATCGGAGGGCAAGATTGGATAGCCAGACCAAGTCTCGTCGACGTATTCGACGATCACGAACGACTCGCAGACGGGCTTGTCGTCGTGGAGAAGAACAGGGACCTTCTTGTGAACTGGGTTGTACTTGAGAAGAAGATCACTTTTGTTGGCAAGTGATTCGTGAACGTATTCGTATTCCACTCCCTTGAGTTTCAGAGCAATCTCTGCTCTCGCCACAAATGGGCTATTTACGAGTCCGAAAAGCTTCACTTGGTGGTTTGAACCTGAAGCCATGGCTGTACTTGTTTTCTCTCAGTTTCTGGTCTGGGGATTATGGTCACTGAGTTTGTGGTTCAGTTTCTTATGCAGCCAGGGAGGAGACTGGGATAGACGTTTGGTCAACGAAGTGTTTTATTATTTTTATTTTTATTTTATATATATATATATATATATATTAAAAGCCAATATCTTAATGGGGAAGAAGTAATGCAAGTTGTACATCACCAAAGACAATGCTTAATTAATGAATTGGATTCTTTGTTGTTATTTTATACAAGGAGTTAAAAAAAATTAAATTTAGTTGAATTTTTTAAAATTTTAAATTTTTATGAAATTTTAAAAATTTCTAAAATTATTTTCATTAAATTGTAAGTTTATTTTAATTATGAAATTTTTTTATATGAACCCGCTCATGCTTCGTTTAATAAAAACATTCCATATTATAAGGTTGTACATATAAGTTGATTAGGCCATTAATGATGATTGAGAAAGAAAATATAAGAAATTAAAAGGTACTTTATTTCAAAAATAGAATTATTAAAAAGTTGGCACATAATATTTTATTTGATTGAATTGATATAATTTTATTAGATAGAATATGGATGGCGTGATGCATTGAATTCATGTAAGAATTTATCATTTAATTATATCTCCTCTAATCTCTCTCTTTATTTTCATTTTAAGAGAAATTTTTTTATGAACCTTTATTTAATAAAAACATGCTATGTTAGATTGCAATACAAATTGATTTTGTCATTGATAATAATAGAGAGAGAAGTCAAGAAATCAATGAAGTGCTCTATGTTAAAAATAAAGTTATTAAAATAATGATATATAATATTTTATTGATTGAATTAATATAACATGATATATTTTTATTGGAGAAAGTATAAATAAGGTGGTGCACTGGATTCATCTAAAAAATTTTCCCATCTTAATTGTAGAGTATCATGAGGAGGGAAAAATTGTAAAACAATATTTAATGTTGTGTTAATTTTACAAAATAAGCCATGTTTTGAATACTCAATTTTTTGAGTGTGCCTTCACATATAATTAATGGGGAAGAAGTGTCAACGGTTTTATTGGTCAACTGTCAATGTAATTAAATGCTTAATTAATGAATTGGATTCTTCTAGTTATTTCACACCACGAGTGAAAAAGAATTTTAAATTGTTGGTGAAAAAAAAAAGAATTTTAAATTTAGTTAAACTTTTTAAAATTAATAAATCTTATAATTCTTTTCCACCAAGCGAGTCCGGCATTGAATGAAAAATTAGACCGGATTAACCGGTTCAACTTGTAAACTGTGAATAGGCCTCTTTTATGGCATAGTCTTGTACTTAAATTGGTTTAGTGTTAACCTGTTTCAACTTATGTTCGACCCCGATAACTCGGCTAACCCAACAGGTTATTGGGTTGGCCGGGTTGGCAAAATAAAAGAAAAAAAAAGAGAAAGGTTGAGAAAGTTTAAAACAATGGAGATTTAATAAAAAAAAATCAAAAGAAAGAGAAAGAAAAGGGCAGATAACCATCGGAGATTGAAGATGAAAAAGAAAAAGTTTATGAGAAAAGAAGAGAAGAAAAATTATAATGAAAAAGTAAGAAGAAAGAGAAAAAATCCCTGAAGGTTGTCGAGAGAAGACTTGCAATCGCGAGTTGTTTTTTATTGCTTCACGACAAGAGGAGATTGCTTGGAAAAAACTTGACAAACTGCTGAGGATAAGAAAAGAAAATAACGCAATTGGACAACGGAGAAGAGAGAAGAACTTGGGAATCAGCAACGAGATGGTGAAACAGCAAAAGTTAAAATAAAAAGTTGCACACTTTTAAGATTTAAAAAAAAATGTAGAAAAAATGGCTTCGGTTGGAGTTGGGGTGAATGAGTGATTGTCGATTGTACATTCATTCTCACTTATGATTTCTCACTCCCGAGAATTCAAATTTCAAGCATTGTCATAAATATACATCATCATCATCATCATTTTATAATTTTTAAATGCCTTTTTCTAATGTTTTAAAATATATTTTATTTATTTTATTTTTAACTTTAATCGTGTAAATATCCATTTATTATTTCCAGATATTTTAAAATTTGTTTTTTATTTAATATTATGTATATCTATATTTATGATCTAAAATAACATCATGAATGCATGAATAATTAATCACCTAGCATATGTCTGTTATGTGTATGGTTTTGGTTGAATATTTTTAATGATTATTGTTTTTATTCTCATTTTTATTGTATTTAATTTAAAATATATTTTTTTAATTATGACATGTCTGATTCTAATTAAATTATTAACTTTTGAACCACTATCACAATCGATTCAAAGATCAATTTAATTTTTAATACCTTAAAATCTGAATATGATGGTTCTAGATCAAATGTTGGCCCCACTTGCCCCCTTGAGGTTTTTTTTTTTGTTTGTAAAAAATGAAAAAAATTAGCTTTAGCCCCAATATTTTAGGTCATTTTAAGTTTAGCCTCCATACATATTCCTAGATTCATAAACGGATTTGTCTTCCCTATTTATCACATGATGAAATCTAAACTATTTAAATTTTTATCTTGTCTAAATTTAAAGTTTTTTAATTTTAATTTTATATTGATTAAAATAAAATTTTAAAATTTCTTTAATAAAAAGTTTATCAATAATTAGAACATGAATGATTTAATATAGATAGTCTAATTTAATATTTAAATTTTTATAGTTTTTAAATTGACCATCAGATATATCCTAAACAGTCTAAATTTAATATTAATTTTTTAATTTTTAGTTTTTAATTTTAATAAATATAATAAAAAATAATGATAATATCCTAACTGATACTTTTAAAAAATATAATTTTAAAAAATTGTAAGTTAAACATTTTAAATTTAGACGGTCCAAAGTAAATTTGAATAACTAATTTATAAAATTATAAAAAAAATTTAATGTCAAATTTGGACAATCCAAATTAACTCTAGACAGATTTATTAAACTTTTTTATATTTTTTATTTTAATAAATATAAATATAAATTTTAAATTTTAAATCTAACTCATCCAGATTAAATCATCTAGATGATGCAAACCTCACTAAGGTCATCCTGAGGAGCATCAAAGGTTCTATACCACCTTGCTTATGGTGTTAGATAGTTCCATTTTTGAGCTTTGTACATGCAAAACATAAAATATTGAGCTTAGTATAGAGCCTCTTCTTTTATATGTGTTTTCTCTTCCATAGATAAAGAAAACTTATTTTATCACGTTTGACTTGTCAATTTTTTTATTGTAAGAATTAGGGTCTGAAATTCACTTCTTACATAAAAAGCTCCCCATTCATTCATTTTTTTTTTTTAATGTTTTGAAGTATTATGTGGACGTCTATCTATTTTATAAGTTCTTGCTTGTTTGGATGTGACTCTCATTGGGGGCGAAATGCAACTTCAGATTTTAGGGAGTCAAATATTTAACAAAAAATAACATAACATTTAATTATTTAACTTATAATATTTTAAATTGCATGATGATTTGTCAAAGGTTAGCCTTTATTTTTGGATAAAGAAAATTTAATCTGTCTCTCTTTTTTGTTATTAAAATCATCTAAAAAAAATTTATATCAAATGCTTTAACAATTCTCCTATCAATATCAATATACAAAAATAAAAAGAGTTAGTTTCTCATAATATGATAAATCAATATTCAAATTCTCATTGAGAGATCGAGGTACCTATATTTAATACCTAATTATATTTTTAAAAAGAATTATTTCTAATAAAAAGATACCTGTGTGCTAAAAAAACAAAAAAATAAAGAAAGCTAAGGTATCTATCATGCATCTTGTTACTATACATGGTTTTTAATATTATTCATCTTTGTGGCTTAAGAATTTTGAAGCGAAAACTCTGGTCACATAACCCTTGCAATATTTTAAAAAGAATTACTTTTAAATACCTGTGTGCTAAAAAAAAAAAAAAAAAAGCTAAGGTATCTATCATCCATCTTGTTACCATACATGGCTTTCAATATTATTCATCTTTATAGCTTATGAATTTTGAAGCCAAAAATCTGGTCACATAACCCTTGCAAGGGATTCTACCGCTTTAGCCATTCACAAATCATTAGAAAAGGAATTTTGAAAAAATGTTGCATTTTTTTCCCTTCAAAAAACCTACTAGTAAGGTTTATTGCACATGTGGTAAATATATCATAAATTATTTTTAATAACAACTTTTTTTTTACAATTTGTTACTTTTTTATATACTAAAAATATAAACATCTTATTTTATTTATAAACTTATTATTAAAAAAATAAAAAAATAATTTGAAAACTACATAAATAAAATTAATTACGTTAATATATTATCATAAATATACAATATAAAGTGTGCTAATATGTTAATATGATATCATAAATAAAAAAATATGTTAACATAATACCATAAGAAGATAATATGAAATATTTTATTAAATTTTAATAGTCACGATCAAGTATGCTTTTACATTTTTTTTTTTGAAATGGAGTGGAAAAAGACGATGGACATTGCAAAAGTGTCATAGAAAAAACATTGCATTTTGAAAAAAAGACCATTAGTAAGATTTATTATCTATGTGACAAATGTATGGTAAATTATTTTAATAATAACTTGTTTTTTCTTACAATTTTTAAATGTTTGTACATACTAAAAATATAAACACTTTATATTGCTTATTAATTATTACTTGTGAAAAAAATTAAAAGAAAATCTCAAAATTGTATAAAAGGTTAAAGGATAATTTGACCTCTAAACATATAAGTTCAATAGCTTATAAGACCTTAAACTCATTTTTTTGTAAAATGCCATCAACTTTTGAAATGAAAATGGTGTAATGTTGATTTTGCTGTCAACAAAAAGTTAGCTTTAATTATTTATTGGCAAAAGAAAAAAACAAAAAATTATCAAAAATTACAGAAAATGACCTTAAAAATTATAAATAATGATACAAAAATTATAAATAATGATCAAGAAAAATTGATAATAAAAAAATTAATTAATATGATTGATTTTAAATAAGGTATTAAAAAATTAGAATAGTTATTGAACCAATTAAAGAACTTGTCAAAGGTTTATGTTCAAAATTTTAATTGAATCATGATCAAATTGTTTATAAACAAAACACTTAATTAAATCAATCAAAACACTTGTTTAACAATTTACCGGTAGAATTAATTTACCAGTTCTACCAGATCGATTGACATGGATTTTCATAATATGATTTTAAATATAATTAATTATGTTATATGGTATAATTAATTTATAAAATTGGTTAATAAGAGTGATTTCAAGTATAATTGGTAACCACAATTGAAAATGAGTTAAAATCATTATTTTGTATAATTATATCCAAACACCCTTTTGTAGAGGAGTTTATATATTTTCAAAAAAATCACAATTTTGAATTTGTAATTAATTTTGACATATAATAAATATGCTTGAATATATTTTTACAAAAGCATAATTTTACACTCTAATAGTGATTCTAAAAGGGCATCCAAACTGGCACTACCAAATTATAAGAACCTTGTGTTATAATTTCCACCATTCTTGCCAACAACGGAAAAATGCTTTTAACTGATTTATGAAACTAATTTTGTAAATAAATATGGTCCTGCACACATATACATACAAATCTCCATGTAATCACGTGAGTAATCAATTGGTATTATTTATATTATAAAACTTCCGGCAGTTGAAGATGCTTGCAGTTATTAAATTACAACTGGTAGAAAGACAGAAAAATACATCACAAAACACACACCCATACATTAGTTATTATATATGCGTGCATTTGTGTGTGCATCTTAAAAAGCTCATGCATTCGTGTTCTTTGCCATGTACATTATATGCGATTAAAGCATCGCAACCAAATAGTGCATCATCACCAAACAACAAAAATGACAAGACACAAACAAGCATCTATCCTTTTCCAATACTTTTTGTAGCCATATTGATATTGTAAAATTATTGTTACAAATGGATTTTTGAGACGGACTCTTGTCACCTTCTACTGAATCCAAAAACTTCAAGTAGAGACTAGATTAAGAATTGTCTTCAAGAAATCGATAGTCAGTATAACCGATAACTGGATCAGAAGTATAAAATGTCTCTCTGTGGTACTTATTGAGAGGAGCATTAATCTCAAATCTCTTTGGCAAATCTGGATTCGCCAAGAACAATCGGCCATATGCCACAAGATCTGCTCTGCTCTCTGCAATTGCTTTATTCCCATCTTCACGTTTATACCCTCCAGCAGTAATGAAAGTGCCACTGAAGGCCTCTCTTACGGGCACAAGATTATCAGGGCGCTCACCTTTTTCTTTGTCAATCTTCTTGGGCTCTACCATGTGCAAGTATAGAATGCCATATTTATTCAGAGAATTTGCCATGTATAAGGCAAGTTCTTGTGGATTAGAGTCCACACATTCCTCTGAATCTGCAAAAGGTGAGAGTCTAATTCCCACTCGCTCTGGTCCTATCTCATCAGCAACAGCTTTAACAACTTCTAGTGAAAACCGACATCGGTTCTCCAGTGATCCGCCATATTCATCTGTTCGATCATTGACTTGATCTTTCATAAATTGATCGAGAAGGTAACCGTAAGCACCATGGATCTCAACACCATCAAACCCTACAATAATTAAACAAGTATCATCATTTTCAATTTGTATCAAGTTACAGCATATAAATGAAAATTAGTACCAGTTCCACCACATAGCGTCTGCAAGATTAGTTTTGCTTCACACACTTGCTAGTCTCTCTAAGTTCCTAAGAAATTCAATCTGGTTCTCCTTAGTTTGAAAACAGGCAACGTTGCCCTAATTGAAAGTAAAAATATCTAGCCTTTTGTTACACTGTTCAAAAGAAAATGGATGTCAACTCGACAGTGTACTTATTTAGATATTACTTTTATAGTGTGACATTAAATTTACACTGTTTTTGGTGTCTAATTAGATAAGAAATCATTAAGTTTGAAGTTAAATATTGGATAAAGGTGTAGCAAGGTGGCAACATCTAATGATTTTACAAAAGAGGAGCAAAACTATGGCTAGTTTGCAATTAGAAGGGACTAAGCTGAACCTTTAGTCAAACTAGAAGGACCAAAGTTGTATTTAAGCTTGTTATTCATCCGCAATCAATATGTATTGAAACAAGAAATTATATAATTTGTAGAAATCAGATTGTGAAAAATCTTCTCATAGCCAGGTCATCTGTGAAGTAACCTGCCATTCAAGTGATTTTTGGGTAACAAATCATCTGGTATTCAAATACCGTTGACTAATCTGAATTTGAGCCTCATACAAGAGAAAGCTCTTCCAACATGTCTTTTTCTATTCACAAGGCTTGAACTGCATACCTTGCTTGAGGAGTATCTGATCTCTTATCACTTTAACGCACTATTACTAGTACTGCATTACTTATATCGATTTTGGTGGAAGTAGTCTGGCTTCTCAAAACATTAGATAGTGTTGAGACCCTATTACATAACAAACCAGAAAACAGCAAACAAGCAACAACAGAGCACAAAATAAGGGAATTCCTGAGGTTTTAGATTAATGTGATAAGGCGCTGAATCAGAGTTACAAGAAGGACTCCCTGATTCAGTATAAAACCCTCTTCCCTTGTTACAATGAAAATCACAGCAACTGAGATAAACCCAGCTCCTCTACTACAGAGCAACCGCTGCCTTTTGAGAGGCCAGTCCTCTCCTCCCAACTCTCAAATACCAAAAATATGACACACCCCACTTGGGGACCTCAAGCATAATTATAAACCCAAAAGACAACCCTCACGGACTCCAAAAAAAACCCTCTCCTAAGCCAGGTCAAAAGCAACTCTAAAGCAGCCTTAGTTGTTATTTTCTTGCTCCTTAATATTTGGAGCAGTCAGGTCAACGTTCTGACCATCTGAAGGCATCTATCCTTTTTCATGCTTCTTCTTAGGTTTCCTTTTGTAGGTCTGGCCAGCAAAAGTAATCCTATCAGATAGTTAGTAGATTACCTGCTTCCACAGCATTTCTGGCTGCAAGTCTGAAATCATTGACTATCTGAGGGATTTCATCTGTTCTCAGCCTTCTTGGTGGTGTAAATCGTGAAAGGTCAGTCATTCCCATGTCTGTACTAGATATTGGGGCTTGTCCATTTGGCTGGAAACCTTTTCAAATAACAATGTATGTGAGATGGGGATAAATTCAACATATACAGGAAACTCAGGTATCTTTCTCCAATACAACGCAAACAAAAGATAATTAACTAATGCTGTTTTTGGATTAGAACCAAATTCCCTTTTTGGATTCACAAAAATCTATGGTTTAGATTTAAAACCCAAATCCATTTTTTATTGTAATTCTTTTGAAATTTCAAATTCCATATATACTTTAGTCACTTAAAGTTTAAGTCACTTCAACTCTCTCTCGTTTTCTTCGCATTTTTACTGTTAGTGGCTTGGGGCCTCCATCACTCTCACCTCTTCTTTCATCCCTCATTCTCATCCCTTATTAATTAAAAAATAGAGATAAACTTGTCACTTTCAATTTTCTATTTTCACTTCAAATCTTATTTTGTCTCTCTTCTTCCTTTGAGTTTAATTTTATGAATTTTAAATGTGACAGGTATATTTTTTAAAAAAAAGTTGCTACAAAGTTGCCTTCAAAAGTTATACTAGAGTTAGTGGAATTTAATTAATTAACTACAATGTGTTGAATAAATTGTTTCAAAATGATAACAATGCTACCATCATGCTATAAGTTTCTACCAAAATATAAAAATGCTAGAATCATGTCTAAGAAAGTTGTCACACATTTATAAGAAGTTTGGAACCAGGATTCAACCAATAAACCACTATGTTTTGAAATTCATTGCCTAAATCCTAGCAGCAAGCTCTCTATGATTTTCTGATAATTTTTTTATATAGAGTTATCATCTTTATAATATGATAGTAACTTGTTCATATCATAGAGGCAACATTGTTATAACTGGCAAAAAACACACTCAAAACTTTGTGGTTAATTTCCTAAGCCCAGGTTCTAACACTACAACTTTGTGGTGATTTTTTTTTAATATGCTAGTAATGACTTTATTACCAAGTCATTAACAATGGGTATTTCATCCTTTGTCCGATTTGATCCTTTGGTTTTTTAAAAATAATTTTTAATCTTTAAGAGATTTCTCAGTAAAAAGTTTTAGATTTATATCCATTATTATAATTCTCCATAAAATTTAGCAAGAGAATACCTGTATTTGAAACCCTTCCAACATGCCAAATCTGACAAAAGAATACACCACCTTTGGCATGAACAGCATCCACAATGGGTCTCCATGCTTTCACCTGCTCCGGGGTCCATATGCCTGGTGTACGCTCAAACCTTTACATTGGAAATAAAAAAATAAAAACAACACAAAAGAAATACTTTTGTAGAACATCCTAGCAAATAAAATAAAATATATGAATATAAAAAAAACAAATAAAATCTATAATACACAACTGATACTTTAATTTTTTTAAAAAATTTATAAGGTGGGATCGAAAAAGGGTCTCATCAGCTTATGGATTTTTATAGTAATGTAATGCTTCTGCATTTTTTTTTTTTTATCAAATGATGTTTTGCGTTTAAAAATAAACAACAAACATTTATTTTTGGTGATAAACAATAAATATTTAATAAATTGTCATGGACATTTAATTCATACATGTAGCATGTTTTTACATTTAATCTATAACTTCAGAAAATTCAGAACTGATTTATGTTTTTAATGAATCGATATGTTTCTCATAATATAACTCATTATAAGAATGTATGTATATCCCTGTACCCATATTATAAAATTTTAAATACTATCATATCTTAGATATCATATTCAGTAAGCAATCAGTTAAATTGGAAAAAATTAACTTGAAAATAATGAAATGTGCAAATTACCCTTGAGCAGTGTCAGAAACACCAGCAGCTTCAGCTATCAGAAGACCCCCATTAGTAGCTCGTTGAGAGTAATATAAGATAGCATGAGGCTGAGGAACATAGTTGTAAGATCTCTGTCTAGTCAGTGGTGCCAAAACAACTCTGTATATCATTGATGCAAGTCACTTTCATAGCGTATTAGAAACGAAGATATAAGGACAAAGAGATTAAAATTATCAACGTGACTAACTTATTCTTGAATTTAGATTTCCTAACCAATTTTTTTAAGAAAAATAATTTATTTTGGCAAATTTGTCATCTATTCTTTCTAGATTGTTAAAATATCTTCTATTTTTTTTTTTTTTAGTTGTGTACAGATATCCTATTGAAGACAATTTTGTTCAAGATATAGTCAGATACTAAATGTGAGCACCTTTCCCTTCAAAAATTCAAATCTTGATTTACCATATTGTAAAAGATTAGCCACTTCTGCTGGACCAACCCTCATCGGTAAATTCTCTTCTATTATTAAAATGGAAAATGACTCCCAACAGATCTTGACCTTTCAGATCAACTGGATGATAAGAAAGAATGTTGTTGAATTTCCCAACAGATCTTGATCTTCACAACAGAAGGTATTTCTCATGGCATATTACCATGAGAAATTTTATTTACTTCAAAAATTGTTCTGTTGAGGTCAATTCCTTGAGGAAAAGTCAAAACCGTGAAGATTTTTGTTTTGGTATAGTGAATGGCCATTCTCACACTGAGAATGAAGCGATCCAGACATGGGAAAATGATAATAATTTCAATTACACTCTGGTCATTCAATTAATCTGGATAGTCTACACTTATTTAGAACATTTTGTATCATTAATTAAAGTTCACTCAAAATAATTTAATTTTCACCTTAAACACAGAAAATCCAAACTCACCCTACAACTTTGCAACGAACAGGTGTAAGGATATCCTCAATTTTTTGAGTCTAAGAATGCGACAGTTCAAAAATAAATTATGTTTAATTAAATAAGGCATTCATATTTTCGAAATGATAGACATCATACCCTATATCAACGCTCAGCTGGGACAGTTCACGAACACCTTATCTGCATAAATTTAAATCAGAGAAATAGCAGAAGAAACTGGTGAGAAGTGTGAGTACCTATGTGACAGATTGAAATTGCCCATCTTATAAGGTGTGAGCAGAGGAATAACGGTAGCTTCACCAGCCATTTCTGCACCACGCTACTGGTTTCGCTTGTATGTCTCTGCAATGTTATTGCTGTTTCCTGTTTCTGACCATAAGAAAATCAACACACGACAGACTCCACTGAGCTTAAATAAAACTGAGATTCTCGTATAAAATTTGAATCTACGGCGCGTCTGGATTCGGTGCGTGGAGGGAAGTCACCGCAACCGCACACCCTCAATTACAACGTCGTTTTTCCATTCTCTCTTGGTCAGAGTCTCTTGACGGATCAACGGTTCCGAACTTCCGATGAAACTATTCTCTTCATAGCATTGCCTTTTCCCGCCGCTTCTGCAACAAATTTTGGCCTGAGGCAAAAGGGATCCCAGCCAACATCTCCGCATATTGCCAGAAGAGAAGAAGGTTGGTTCGGCTGTGTTATGAGAATTAATATTTTATAAAATATATCTTAAAAATAAAAAATAATAAAAATTAATATTTTTTTATTCTTTCTTATTCTTTAAAATAATAATCTCAGAACACCTTAAAATTATTTTTATTTTTTTATTTTATATAATAATATTTTATTTTTTATTTTTTAAAATACTTTTAAAAAATATATTATCAAATAATTTTTTTTATTATTTTATTCTGAGAAATAGAAAACTGTTTTTAAAATTAATTATCAAACATGCTCATCTTTTTTTTTTTTGGTTTTGGGATTGAGGGTAGATTGTAACATTAGCAACAAGAGATTGCCATTATTAAGAATCACCGACTAATTAAATAAATAAAGGGAATGATTTAGAGTTTTTGGAGACACAAGTTAACCTTGATTAAATAAGAAAATCCTAAAATGACGTAGAAGCTGAAGGGACCCACTTGGCTATGACGGTGAAAGAAGGAAGACCATTGATCGACATTTGCATTAGATGGCTTGGATTGCTGTTATGTGTACTAAAAAAGAAGAAAGAAAATAAGTAGTGTGTGAGTGTAGCCTTATAGGGCCTTAAAAACGTTAAATGGAGAGAAGAAAGAAAGAGTGAGAGATACAAGAAAGTGAGAGAATAGAGATAAATAGATTATGTTGATATAAATTATATTGTGAAGAGAAAGAGACGTTGAAATATCAAAAGTAAGTGAGCATGTCAGTTGTCTACTACTATGAGAGAGAAAAATTAAACGGGCGTTTAGAGTGAAGTGTGTGTGTGAGAAAAGCTAAGAGTGTGTAGGAAAAAAAACCAAGTGAAATGACATAGTGAGAGAGTGTAAGTATTGAAAAGTCAAAGCGGTATGAGTACTGTAATCATAAAAAGTCTCGATCATTTAAATCTTTCCTATCCAAGCTTGTACCAATTATTTAGTGGTCTTTTGACTTAAATCTCAATATTTGATATCAGAGTTAACTTAAGAACTTGAACTATTGGGGCGCAGCTGGACTGCTTAAGAGTAGTTGGTAGAGTTTGAGTATTCAGGTGGAAGACCTTTGAGTCTAGATTTGCTTGAGGTTCTGTTAGTACAGAGTCTATGATTGTGAAATAGATCGATTAGGGACCAAATCAACTTGGTATAATTGCAAGGCATTACCAAGATCACCATGGTAGACATAACATCAAATGCTTATTTAGCAGAGAAGCTAAACAATGAGAATTGTCAAGCATGAAAATCAATAATAGAGCTCTGCCTCGAAGGTCAAAATCTTTAGGATCTCTTTGACGGAGATGATGCTACACCTCCAACAAATCCAAGCGAATTGAAGAAGAGATGCATAAGGGCTAAGAAATCTCTTTACATACTAGATGTTACCATTAAGCCACAATTCATTATATATGTCAAAGAGATGAAGATGCCAAAGGAAGCATAGGATACATTGGCCTCTCTATTTGCAAGAGCAAATAGAGCAACATTATAGTTGTTGGAGAATGAGTTTGTCTCGATTCGACAAAATGATATGCAGTTGAGTAAGTATTTTTTAAATATTAAATCTATTTGTAATGAGATTTCAAAGTTAGATATAATGAACCCTATTACTGACAGATAGATGTGGAGAATTATTATTACAGGGTTAAATCCAAAATATCATGGCCTAGTCATGGCAATAAAAGGATGGTATACAAAAGCAACTTTAGCTAAGTTGGAAAGTATCCTAGCTAATCAGGAAGCTTTAGATACACAAATATCTAAAGTTTCTTTGAAAGATGAGGAAAATGCTCTCTTTTACAAAAAGAGAGATTGACGAGAGGTTTCCAACTCAAAGAAGTAAGAAGGTGATAGAAGGCGCCACAATGAACTAGCATAGAGAACATTGCAATAGAAGTTCACATTAGAGCTTGTGAAGATTGAGACAAGCCTAATGAAAAGAAAATTGTTAAAAGAAATGTATGTATTATAAATTTGAGAAAGTCGGCCACTTTGCTCGAGATTGTTGGCATAGAAATGCTAAAAGAAGTGTTTTCACCTCCACTATAAAAATGATGGTAAAGAAGAATGGGATTTTTAGGGATAATGTGCCATTAAAGAGGAGATGTTGATAAAAGATTTTAGTGAAGAAAAAATTAGCAATGTCCTGCATCGTGGAAGTAGATGAAGTCAAGGAAGAGAATGCTAAGGTAAGCAAGGACCAAGATGCAGATAAGGATGAGGATGGTCTGGAGGAACTCAGCTTGGAGAAAGTGATTGAATTATGTTTTAGTGTTTAGAATTCAATCAAGGAAAAATATGAAGATGAAGACGAAGAAGACAGAGAGCAAGGCTGTAACACCCTTAAAAATACAAACCAATTTTTCGCAAATTATTAAAATCATTATCATGGTAGAAAATTTTCTTACCATGATACATCCAAGACATAACACAAGTCTTAAAATATCCAAAAAGGCAATTAAAACCATGAGGGACAGACATAATCCTCATGGTCATATAAATACTTTTAATAAAAAGGATTAGAGTTTACATGCTCCACAAAGAAGATATGTCCTAAGTTGGCACAAGATACATTGTATAATCCAAAATAAGAGGCAACGTAAAAGATGGTGTCTCATACACCATAGTTACACCTCTGGTGCTTTCTCGGCCGGACTCGCTCCTGTAAAAATATTAACCACGGGGAATGAGACTTAAAAGTCCCAGTAACCAAAAATTAATATGTAATGATGCATGCGGTTGTAACTAATCATACGATTGCTAAGTGGGCACACAAAACATTTAACCGAACAATATTTTCAAACAAACTGAACAAGTATTTAATTGCATGACTGCACCTTATATCCTCCTTTCACCATGTTCGGACGCCAAATTACCCTGCCAAAGGTGAGTTGGACCAAGTGACACGCCACTCATTGGGTCCAATGAGGGCTTACCACGTGGTAATAATTAACCAAACAGAAATTTTTATTAACACCATACATTAAAATACCCTGACAAGTCATGCATCATTCAAATATCCAAACAGAAATATATTCGAACAATAATATCTCATCATGATAAAAAAAAAATTTTAACCCACTTGGCAATGATTTCACAGAAGTATATAACAGTATTTATTTTAAATAATTCATAATTTTTCCAAACAACAAAACAACACATAACCATTCACAAACACACCCATCACAACACATTAATAATGGTTACCTTGTGTCTTGAATAACAAGTTCCCCTTCACAACTCCTTTTTCACCACTATCTTTGTCAATATAATCTACATAATTATTTCACAATACTATATATTAATTTTACATTAAAATAAATAACTCTAATTTAAATAGTTATAAAGTCTTAGATCTATAATCCATATTAACACTAATTTAAAATTTATGCCTCATTTAACTTCCCAAATTCTTTTCTAAAATTCTCGTACCCTAATAAACTATTTTTTTATCCTCAAATCACTTCTAGTATCACAATTTCATCCTTCTATATTCTAAAAATTCGTCCAAAAATAAATTAAAAATTTTAAAATTATCCTGAAGCCTCAAATCACCTTTCTATAACCTCAAAAATACCTATTCATACTTAAATAAATATTTAATAATCATAAGTTTATCCCTACATCTCAGAATCCACATAAATTCAATCATATAGATCTAGATTTTAACTCAAAAATTCCTAAACATGAGTTTCAACCTCAAGAAAATATTCTATAATATTTATTATATCCCTAAGAGTTTTAACCTATATTTTTAATCTATCATATCATCAGATTAACTATCCTATAGAAAAATCTTAATCAGAATATTTACTCTATCCTACAAAATAATCATATCACTAGAAAGCTAATATTATTTAGAAAATAACTATAAAATTAATTTTGTAATTAAATAAATTTTTAAATGCTAATCTAAACAGGAAAGTTAGAACATACCTGAAGAAAAAGAAAATAATCCCCCCTTGCAAGAAGACTCCGAGCAACGTGAGAGGAAGAGAGAAAAATAATATAAAAATAAGATGTGAGTCCTAAAATTATATTAAAAAAACTATAGGTTTGAATTTAATTATTCAAACTTTTGGGCCATAAGTTGCAATTTTCTCTAAATTGCATCTTAACCTCTCATGCTTCCTAATGTACACACCCCCTCCTTTTTATACATGAAGGCACCTCATCTCTTCCCTCATCTAACCAATGTGGAACTTAAAAACAACAACCTTCCACCCTTTTTTTATTCCTTCTACTTTCTCTATTTTTTAACACACACATAAAAAAAATTATTTATGTATTATATCTTAACTAAATATTGCTTATGTGATTTTAAATTTAAATTTTTAAATTCATAACTAAATACCTAACCATAATATTATTTCTAAATAACCTCAAATAATATAAATTCCTATTATTATCATTTTTTTCAAAACCTAAATTCCACAATTTCTTTATTATATAAAAATCAGGATGTTACAAAGGCCAATCATCACCATTGTAAAGATCTATGAAGATATAGAAACCAAGTACCAAGAATATTTTGGAGTAGAATATGAAGTTGGCTACATGTAGATTCTCTTACCAATATGAAATTGACCATGACACATTTAAGAAGCCATATGGAAGGTTAAAGAAAAAGTAAAAAGATTAATTAGTTGGTGAAGGGAGCATTAAGTATCACTGACTAATCAACAAAAAGGGAATGCTTCAAAATTTTAAAGAAGTGTGTAGTAGTAAAAGAAAATAAGATTCTAGAATTATGTTGAAGAAGAAATTGACTTATATGGCAGTGGAGAATTGAGGAATAAAGAAGGCTTGAGAGGAAATCTATCACCCCATTCATCATGTATAAATGTGTGTGTGTGATAGAGTAAAAGAAAAGAGAGGAAGCAAGGTGACATGAGAGATTGAGTGAAAGTGTGAGTGTAGCGTTGTGTTATAAAAAGTAGGGTGAGAGAGAAAGAGTAAGGAAAAATTAAGGTAAAGATATAAGTATTTGTATTTATTATA